CACACACACACACACACACACACACACACACACACACACACACACACACACACACACACACACACACACACACACACACAGAGAGAGAGAAACCCAGTATCGTGAGAAGATGTTTACAAGTGTCAAGTCACTACGAAAAGAGGGACCAATGGTCCTTCCCACAACAACACACAGGCTCAGGCATGTGAGGGCATTAGCATTGTGCTGAGTGAGTGGGAGTGAATAAGTGTCCTGTTAGAGAAAAAAAGGCGGGAAGCTGACAGGATGGCGGGGTTAGTGCAGGTCAGAGCAAGGAGGTGCAGGTCGTTTGCATACGGCAGCAAACGTATGTGGCGTTGATGTGCAGTATGGTGCGGTGAGCTTCACCTACCTACAGGGCCAAAAAGCTCCGTCGCATACGGTATAAAATCTGACCACAAGCAAAACACAAAAAACAGAAGGAGGGAGGGGGGGTGAAAATAAAGAAACTGGGAGGTGAAACTGTAAACAAACCATGCAGCACTTCCACAGCACACAGTCGTTGGCTTGTCAATTTCGCTTGTGTGTTTGTATCAATTAGTGTTGGATAAACGTGTTCAGCAGGTATAACAGGTGTGACTTGCCACCTGCTCAATAATAGACCTGTGTATGCATGGGCCAAACAATCAGGCAGGTTAATACAGGGGACGAGTGTGGATGGGTGTGGGTCAGAAGGAGGCTGCTGAGGGGTATTTGGGGTTCATGTGAGAGACGGTCAGTGGTTACATGTGTGGTAGGAAGCATAATGCGTTCAAATGGAAGGCAGGATGTGATGTCCGACTCGCTCACCTTGTACCCGCTGCATCTTAGTGCGCCCAAAAGCCATGGGCAGGTTGAGAGGGATGAAGTGTTCGTGGTTACACACGGTCATCAGGAAATCAAATTTCATTTCAGTCAGCACCTGTGGCCAAAAGAGGACACACCCATTATGTAAATTCCTGATAACCGCCGCAGAGCATAACTATAATTCTCCTCATTGTTCAAATATAATACTCGACACCTCAGACATCGCTTCTCAAACAAAGTGTGCCAGGTGTCTGCAATGGTTTCATTTGTTAGCCAAATGAGGTAGGGCGGGAGACACGTGTTTGTCAGTTATGTCCAAAGTACCTAATCAGCAAAATATAAAATACTTTTAGTTTAATACTGTCCTCTTATCAATGATAAGAGCTTAATAATATTATAATAAAAACTTTATTTGTACTTTTCACACAAGAAATGCAAAAAGGGCTTTACAATAAAAGAAGATAGACATAGAATGAACATAAACAACTTTAGAAGGTAATTTGAGACTTATTTAATATAAATGTTTTGATGTGCACAATTAATATTCGGTACCTATGTGTCTGCAAACACAGACTCACAACTTCCCAAATTCACTACAGTTCTGGATTACACCAATGTAAACCTTTTAAACCCATCTCAGAACATCTTCCATGGGGTGTAACCTCACTGCAGGTTAGGATTTTTAAACATGAAAAACAACATTTTTGCAGCACGTACTGGTGTATATGTACACTGAGCATGTACCTTGGGATCTCTGAGACCGAAATGACACATGTAGTGGTTGACCAGGCCGAAGGCAAAGCCCCTGTTCATGACGGTCAGGCACCTCTGAGGGAGAGAAAACGTGGTGAGCGCATTGTATGCCGCTGAGGGAACGGACACAACAAACACATCTCTGTTCTGGAGGGGAGTTAAAATTAAAAACTGTGCAATGGTGTTAAATCAGCTCAGGTCAGACCTTGATGAAATTGGCCAGGCTCAGGTTGATGCAACGGGCTTCCTCTAGGATTTCCATGTGGCGGATGGTGATGTGTGGCATGATGGACAACACCAGCGACTGGAGCACCTGGTGGAAACTGTCGGGGAAGCGCTGGGGCCGCGGCATCTGATGAGACGGTCGGGGACAAACATGTAACGCAGATCGCTTGTTTGAGGGCATCAAAATGACAAAAATGACAAACAGGCAGGAACATTATGAAGACAGATTAGCAGCGTGCGGATACACTTGGAGGGGGAAATCCATTTTCTCTCAACAGATGGCCGTTTGATTTTATCTTAACAGTTTCGGCCCTCACTTTGCTTACTGCTGAACATCTGGCTTTGTGGATTACAGCCCAGATGAACTGCAGACACGTGGCATCACAATGTGGAATATACACACGGCTCAGTGAGTCAATTTGAGCCTCTTGTGCTTCCTCTGAGTGTGTGTGAGGTTTGTTTAAACGTGTTGACGTGATACGTGACATCACGTTGTGTGTGTGTTTGCTTGTGAAGTCGTGCCAGATGTAGACATTTGAACTTTGGGGTAGTGTCTGAAGCAAAGACTTGCACTGTTAAACACACAGAATGTGAAATCTGAGCTGCTCAAGTTAGTTGCCTAAAGGAAGAAGAAATCACTTAATACCAACCTTGATGCGGTTGCCCTCTTGCAGGTACTGGGCCATAGATTTGACTATTGTTTCAAAGAAGAACCAGGAGTACTACAGAAAGGGATAAAAGAGGAACAGGGTTAGCCTGCTATGGGTATTTCCCAAAGTGCGGATAAGTGTCCCAGGGAAGAAAAAAAAAAATTGGTGACCCGGAAAATATGTTTAAATAAATAGATTACATTACAGTACAGTACAAACAGCTACATGATTCAGGATGTCTTCTCAGGCCACAAAGACTTTACTTTCTGTTTGGAGGACTTGGTGAGCTGTTGTACAGGCAAGTATGCAGCCTGCTGTTCAATAGTGGTACTACAGCTGAGCTGCACGACCAAAATAGCAGAGCACACGCACCTTGAGCAGTTTGTTGCTGGTGTTGAAATCGGCAGTTTGCTTGAGGGTGGCTGTTACAGCGGTGGCCAGCATCTCATGGGTGGTCGCTGAGTTTCCTGATGCCGGGTTGTTGGCCACAAACACATACTAAGAAGGGGATTAAACACACAAATCAATTATGGAAATCTTTAGATTTGTATTACCTCTGTAGCAGCGTTTGTGTTGGTGGGTTACCTTAACAAAAGAGCGCAGGTAGTGTTCCAGGCCCTCCTCGTGACATCTGGAGACTATATGTATGATCACCCTGAAGGCACAGAAGCAGGGCAGGGTTACACCGTGAGCGTCTATCATCAGTATCAAACAGCACATACTGAGGCGAGCAACTGACCGCAGAGAGTTGACGGCAATCTCATGGGTTACTTTGGTTGCTGCTGTGAGCACCCCAAACAGCTGCATCAGCACCGTTGGTAGGAAGTTGATGATTACATGAGTCTCCATGGCATGCAGGCACTGTAGGAGAAATAGAAATACAGGAGAGCCGCGTAAAGTAAGTTCAACTTGGATTTCAACAAACTACGGTGTCAACACGTTTACAGAAGCTACGGATTCTGCTGGTTGGGGTCTTCAAGAAGGTTTTCCTAAAAGCAAATCTCTGGTCACCTCCGGCAGTGAGAACAGACTTAACGAAGGTCCGGAGGGACCGAAACGTTGTGCAGGATTTTTTCTTTATCAAGTATGACTAGACATAAAATATGTGAGGGACTTGATCTTGAAACAAAGAAAATAAACTCAGTCTACATGTGAGAAAAACCTGTATGATTCAGTAATTGATGCTTCAAAATCTCACGGAGAAGACTTGTACTTTTAAGTCTGACCGCCACCAAAAAAGTTGTGTGTATTAAGGTGGACAGCCTTCTCATAAATAAGATCTCCCAGTGGATTCTCTCATTATTATAAGGACTGAGTGGGTTGACTCACCTTCAGGTATTTGATCAGTTCTGCTGGGTTTCCCTCCGCTGTCGTCCTCATCAGCTGGCAGTGCTGGAAGAATTTGTGTAGATGCAGGTCCTGTGGAGGAAGCAGCACAATATTACTACCATCCACACACACTGTCTTTATACCAGCTACCTTAGAGGGATAGTTTGGATTTTATGACGTGAGGTTGTAAACCCCGTAGTCCGTGTATCACCTACAGTAGAGGGAGTTTGGAGAAACAGACAGGAGCTGTAACTCATACACTATAATAATGCCTGCTGTACATATATGTGGGTATTCAAACAATGATTGAAGAGTTAATTGTTGTACCTGAGCGGATATTGTTGATGCCACGTGGGTCCTCACTTTGAACAGTGTCTTGGCATTTTCCACCCACTTGATATCTGGCTGGGACTGTTTAGGCACAATAAAATATGAAGCATTTAGGAGTTTTCTTTCTTCAGGAAAGCATTTTGACTATGGAGCATTAGTGGGGTCCCAGAGTCTTGGTAAACTGTACCTTCCTGGTGTCCTGACACAGGTATCCAGCAGGCAAGGCGGCTGCTACAGGCAACTGGAGCTCCACTGACTGCATCCTCCCGTCTTTCAGCAAAGGCATCCAAGAGTAACCCACTGGAACACAGGAACGCATACTTACTGGGTCTCATTCATCAGGACACATAACATTACATAACACAGCCAAACAGATTAGAATCTAAATAAGAGACACTCACCCAGTGACTCGACTCCCTCTCTCCTCTTGCTGCTGGCCTTGTTGCTGGACTCACAGCTGACGTGGTAAAAGGTGAAGAGGATGTGGTGTTTCTCATGAACGTGGACCGGCAGCTCAATCTTCACCTGGACACAGTGGAACAACTTGCTTTTTATACCTTTAATAAATCAGCAACATTTCCTTCTTCTTACCGACGTCAGAATAGGAACATGCTGATACCAATAATGGATTTAATACAGAGTACTACTAGTGATAACATCAAAAGTTCCTACTGAAGAGGTTTTTACTCAATTAATGTCACTTATGTTCCAAATACAGTGCCTTGTTTATTTAGAAAACAGTATCTTCATATTTCACACTCTTTCTGGGATAGTGTTAAAGTTGTGTTTTTTGTTGCTGGTCATTTTAATGGTAACTTGTGGTGCTATTTGGCACAAAGACCCAGGGGACTTGTACAATGGCGTATAAGGGCCATTGTCGGTAAAAGAGGAGGATATTAAATATTGAAATTAAAGTCACAAAAATCAAATCTGAAATTTTTATTTTACTTTTTAATTAATTCACTTTCCAAGGTTGGATCAACCTCATCACACCACAGCTTGCCTTGTATTATGCCTGCAGTGGATGACCTAATCAAATTATACTTTGATTTTGTGATTCATCATATTATAAGCATCGGGATTTTGAAGTGACTGCTGTAAATTGGGCCTATTCAGAGGAATACTGATACATACTGATTTGAGTTTTTTCTCGTAAATTTACCACGTTAATCTAATCTTATAATCTAATTATTAGGCTCCATTATTTATTTATTTTTACCTACTATAATCGTCTCAAACACACGTGATACAGTATTTGTGAATCCCTTAAAACAAACACCTCATCCACCAGGGGGCAGCACCAGCAAGGAAATGTATTTTCTCTGTGTCCTGCTCCTGCTGATTTTCTCACAGGAAGTGACACAGTGTATTTTCCACTAGTACAGATCTAGTAACAAACAAACTGCTTAAGAATGTCTTGAATGAATATTATGACTCTCCGATATATGACAGGAGTATGAATCATTCGGTCGGTGTGTTAAATTGTCTCTCTTGGGAAAGTCGGAGACCTCCATGAGATAGTGTGACAGCCGTCTGCGTCCTGACTATGATTATAAAAATAACAATAATACATTTTAGAGAATGCTTGCCAGCGTATTTAAAGATCCTTTGCAGGATAAAAAGATCAAGGCAAAACATGTGAGAAGATAAAGATCACTGTCGTCCTGTTTGAAATTCTCCATGATGTGACTGGAGGCTCAAGCATGTGGAGGTAAATCCCGGTGAGGGTGCCTATGTGTGTGTGCATGCGGGACTCTTAAGATCCTAATCCGTTGACACCGGGACCATATGGAGCCCCTCTGCCCCGCCTCTCTAACAGTATCCTGACCATACCTCTGTCGCTGAGCCCCTGGCCTCATGTGTGTGTAGAGAGGTCTGTGACTGTTTGACCAGTCTAGAGTGAGATCGCAGCTCTACTCTGAGACTCGTTTATGGGATTATCTCAGTGCTGGCTGAGGAATGCGAGTACTGAACACAGCGACTGCTTCTGAAAAAATAAATTGGTTTTGAGTGTCTTCATTGTTGCACTTCTTATTTCCTCTTCATATCTAATTCAGTGTTGATAACCTGATGAATGAGTGCTTCTGCTTCTGTTTAAAGATTTATGCTCAATGCAGCCAATATGATATTGCATTTGAGCCGGTCGGGGTAACGAGGAAACCCTCTCACCTCGTCGTAGAACTCCGGGCTCTGGTTGTGGTGCAGGACGGCTGCGTAGGCGCTGCTGGTGAAGAGTGAGTCTCCCGGCTTGCCGTAGATGCACTGGAAGGCAAGTGAGCACAAATCAGTCATCAAACTGTGGCCCTTTGAAGTGCTCACAAATCTGTGATTACTGACAATATTTGGAGAAAAGACGGGGTGAGTGTGCGAGCCCCTCGTTGTATGAACCTTTGAAGCGCCGACGGATTAAACAAAGAGCTGAGGAACCAGAGGAGGGAACCTGACATTATCAAAAGTATGGCCTTTGACTAGACAAGAGAAACTATACACATGTTCAGGCCTTCCAAAGCACTGTTTACCTTATTGTAATGAAGCGACAGTGCCCTGCCTCCACTGCTGGAGGATGATGACAGAAAACCAACCAACAGAACAATTACAGCACTTTGACTCCACATGTGATGACATAAATATTCATTTTTCTTTCCAAATGGCAACTAGAGCCATTAACAGATGGAAAATGTGGGATTTTTGTTTTTGTATTTTATGAATCCACCCACAAACTCTAGGAGAGACATTGCACAATCAAAGCTCTGTCTTGTATCAGAGCAGCAGCCCCTGCAGGAGGAAGTTCTGTGAGAAACATAAACATAATCGAGAGTCATGCTTGAGCGGGTTAGGATATTTCTAACGATGGGCGACAGAAGGGGAGAAAAAAAACTCCAGACCTGTTCTGATGGCTGGTTCTAATACCGTAATTAGGATGCTAACAGTTGTAGTCATCTCTAATGAACAATAACGAGCAGTGCTGGCCAGAGGAAGGACAGAGTTCTGGAGCAAACAGATTCAAATTGAGACTGATTGGAGCGGGGAGGATGAGAGAGAGAGAGAGAGAGAGAGAGAGAGAGAGAGAGAGAGAGAG